ATCATTAAGCAACATATGACTACTTCACTGTACACATAAAGCCCAAGTATTGATCCCTCCATCTTAGGTTGGGATTCTCTCATGTGTAACAGGACCTTGGGCTACAAAGAGGAAGATGAAGATGGCTGATTGTTGGCCATCCCTGGAGTAATGTAGAACAATTAAACAAGGATGGCCAAGTTTTTCCTGAGCAGTGGTTAGAAAGAAAATACCTACCAGAAAACAATGTGACTAGTTATCTGAGGAGTCTTATTTTCCTTAGGGCAAAGCCTATGTGTAGTAGAAAATGCATGGACTTTGGAGTCAGACTTATCTTTAAGGGATTAATTACAGTACTCCCTGGGATACCAAAATCCACAAATGCTCAAGTCTTTCATATAAAATGATCTTGCCAGGCATGGTGGCACACGCCCATAATCCCAGCAGCTTGGGAGGCTGAGACAGGAGGATCGTCAGCCTTAGCAAAAAGCAAGGTGTTAAGCAACTCAGTGAGACCTTGTCTCTAAATTAGAAAATACAAAATAGGGCTGGGGATGTGATTCATTGGTTGAGTGCTACTGAGTTCAATCCCTGGTACCCTCCAAAAAAGAAGATCTAGTATTTGCATAAAACCTATGCACATCTGCCCATTCTCTGCACTCTAGGTGACTTATACTACCTAACCTAATATACATGTTAAGTAAACAGCTGCTACATGCTATTGTTTTGGGAATAATGACAAGACATAGTCTGTGTAATTTTTTTGTTCCCAATTGTTTTTGATCCATGGTTCATTGAATCCTTGGTTGTAAAACTTGAGGGTACATAGGATCTAGTAAGGGTACTAGTTAAGCAATAAATGTTAGTTTTACCCACTTTTCCCATCTCTCATTGATCCTTTGTGTGTATCCTTTGTGCAAAAGGTGGAAATGGTGTGTGTTTGAAACACACAGACACACACACACACACACAATTTGTAATATAGATGGATCATTTACAGAAGCAGCAGACCCTGATCATGTCTTTGCCTTTCTGTTTTTCTCTATTTCAGGGAAAGTAAGGAGGCTAACAAAGGAACATTGACTTGGGCTTACCAGATGCTCTGACCCTGAATCCCAAAGACTATTTTTAAAAGCAGGTATCATTCAAATTGTGGGTTAACCAATGAATACATGAAAGTAGAAGTGTTGTTGCAGTGATAACAAATATTGCCAGTTGTGAGGAAAAACTCACCTGAAATTTGTTCGTAGAGTTAAAAGGGATTTCAGCTACTTTGCGGTTTCTTTTTCTAATTTCCATCACATCACCCAAAATGACCTCTGAGAATTTCAAAAGAGCAGTTTCCGAGGCATCTCCAACCACGACTTTCTGGTAACCAAAAGAAATAAATATTTATAGCAAATTCTCTGGTTCCTGTGTGACTGTGTTTAATGAACCT